TCTCTCTCTCTCTCTCTCTCTCAACACTCTCTACGTATATACAATAATCAGGTGTTTTGTAATTCACTCCTCTGTTAGCAAATCGAAATTATTAATTAATTAATTCAACAGGTACAGGTATCATAAAAGTGGAGTTTTAGTCTATTGTTCCTCGATTTACTTTATCTGAAGATTAATCAAACTTATTAAATAAAGCTAATGTGAAATGTAAGCAACCAATGCCAGTTGTCCTAGAATATGTGTACATCTCAAGGGAAATAAAACCAAGACATCTTTTTTCACAAAATCAATTTCTTTTCCACTCCATTTCTACTGAAAATAACATTGCAATACTCAATTACTGTTCCAGAACGAAGAAAAAAATACGTCAACTCTTTCAGGACATAACTTATAAGACGCAACATAAAACACGACAGCTCATGAGGCTCTTTTATGTGAACTTGTCCTGTAAGGATTAATCTTTGAATGACTACGAACGGAATAATAATAGGCCAAATCATATTAAACAACATGACAATGCATCCGAGATCATATGTAAATCAACAGGACCACCAAAAAAAAAGAAAAATATTTTTTTTAAATTAGACCCTTGCCTATATTAAAAGAAAATGAATGTAAACTGAAAGTACAGAATTAAATTGACAAAGTTGGCCACAAACTTTCACGTCACGTATTGAAACTACTTTCTGGGTGTATTTTATGACTATGGGCAGTGTATTGCGCAGTCATCATGTATGACGAATGATTCATAAAAGTTCCCCATAATACTGAGGCTGTCCAGTGGTGACAGCAAGGTTGAGCTGACAGATCTGATTGCGCGGAAAGTCGGAGAATCCATCCCCGTACAGAAACATGCATTTCATTCTTACATGATGTATGGATATCCAACCGATTTACTCTCTTCTTTTTTTCATCTTTAGTATTCATGTCTGTTATGCGTAGAACCTAGAATAATTCTCGTTCCCATAACTACCGAATTTAAATCGAATCAACAATCATATTTCGGTGGTACCTCAAATCAGATCTACAATCACAGAACTTTCAAAGAGAAGAACAGCTTTGTTATCTTGTTTATGTTGTAAGAAACAGCACACACTTGGTGAGCATCATCGTGTAAACACTTTGTCCTGACTTTGATGATTCCATTCTTTCATCCAGGGCATCGCTGTTACGATAATAGAGCGAGATTCAAGATGTTTTCTTAGCAACCATTGCGATCATAACACAGCAAACGAGAGAATCTTGAGGAACGGGGGGAGAAACAGCCGACCCCCTTTGCTACCACAAGCGAGCCCAAACACACACACAGGAAGACGCGAAGCAGTGGCGAAGCGTGTGAAACAACGAGGAGAGAGGAAGAGAGGGCTTGATGCAAACGTGTTTTTCAGCATTATACACGTACACAGACCACTATTTCGACAGATTATACATGAAATCAACACATTTTACTTACCTTTGTCTTCTCACACAATAAAATCCGTATATTGAAATGTATATCCTGAGAATTCTACCTGTGTTTTTCCCACAGGTAATAGAGATCGGCCATTGCCACTGTTATCGTTCACAATGCTCGCGCACTGGGTCGAACCGAAGCGTTGCGCTGAACGCGGCGTGACGTCACGCTAGCTCCGCCCCTTCGCGCGTTGAGTGATCGCTCGCCAGCCAAACAGATCCTGGAGAGAGGGGGGCACTGGGCACCTGCAGCAGGGACGGTACCGGCCTTCACATGTAACTGGTTTGTCAAAGAGATTTTTACACCTTCTGAATCAACACAGACGGCACATTCCGTAGCCTGAAAGTGTTTTCGATGGGATTAGCACACACATTTCCTGCCTACTGTCCACACAATGTTCTAGATGAATGGAATGGACCGAACTCTTCATAAAAGACAAGCAAGCCATTTCAAGGCTGCATTATTTGTTCCACATAAAATAGAAGAATTCCTTGTATTCATCGACCTCGCTTCATTATATAATAATTTTTCTTGACTCATAACAAAATATCTCAGAGAAAACAAGCGGACATTTTTCACGTATGAGTATAACAGAAGCTAAACTAAGACATGAAGAAGAAGAAGAAGAAGAAGAAGAAGAAGAAGAAGAAGAAGAAGAAGAAGAAGAAGAAGAAGAA